GAAAGAGAGAAAGATGCCACCACCTCTATAGCCTGATGTGGAAGAAACAGGTTCAAATCCCTGCTCCAAATCATGGAACCAAAAGAATGGATTGCAGGCTGCAATGCATCATGGAGATACCTGAATAAACTAAGGGTACAGATAGACATGACAATTTTTGCCTAATTTGGCCATAGTAAGCAGTTTATAACCATGACCAAACACAAGTGCATGGCTGCAGACAGCTTCAAAAATGACCAACTGGGTGAAAATCTGATCCCTCATTACATGAGGGGTCAGATGAAGAAGTTTCAAAACAGGCCTGCCTGCCTCTTAGTCTGTTGCTGTTTTCAGAATGGGAGAGGGGAAAGGGAGCAGATGGAGTTTGGTTTGGGGGGTTTTCAGTCCCTGCTGGAGGGTGGGGTGGGTGTATTGGAGCCTTACCCCACCCCTCCCAGAAGTGTTGGCATCAATTCATCCACCCCACCCTCCCTCCAGAGCTGGCTGGGAAACCCCTAGCATGAGCTTCCTCTGCTCCCTTTCCCATATCCCATTCTGAAACAGGGACAGGCTGGGAAAGAGAAGGGGCCACTGCTAGAGGAAACTGGCTGCAGGCTTCCAGCCAGCAGCTAGATTCCCCTTGGGGAGGAGCCACACTTCTGTCTGCACCCTAAATGAGCTTGTTCTGGTACCAGAAACAATTCCATGACACTGGAGCCAATTCACACTACCTCTCAAAGAGTTGATTCCTAGTTCTTTGTGGGAAAAAATTTCCTTGATCTCATGAACCATAAAACTGTTTGTTTCTTTGTTTATGCCCATTGTTTGAAGTTAAGATCAAAGGAAAGTAGGTCTGGAAGGGACCTCACAAGGATATCTAGTCCAGTCCCCTGGTCAAGGCAAAATCATCTCTTGACTAAACCATCCAAGCCAAACATCTGCCTACCCTGCTCTTGAAAACTTCCGAAGGGGATTCCACAATTTATCTAGGTTCCAATGCTCGACAATCCTCAGTCAAAAAGTTCCTCCTAATCTCCAGCCTAAATTTCTCCTGCTGCAGTTTAAGTGTGCTGCTCCTAGTCCTGTCCTGAGGCCATTACTTCCAGTCCTGTCCTCTTAGTCCCATATTTGCAGTAAACAGCCAAATTTAGATACTGAGAAATCCCATTATCAGAAAAGAGCATGCCAAAAGAGCAGCGTGGTGTGCATGGCAGCTATGTGCACCTCCCAACACCTGAGCCTGGCTGGCCACAGCCATACTCCAGTTGCCAGCCAGGCTCCACGTGGCCAGATCACCATCACTACAACTCCAGGAGGCCCCCCAGAACCCCAGGTAAGACTGCTGGAGCCAGCCCAGATGCTAGCCCCAGCTTCCCCTACCCCACCCGGAGCAATCTGCCCTGCACCAGAGAGCAGACACAGGGGCGTTCCCTGGGGACAAATAGAAGTCACACAAATGTGCCATTTCTAGTTGTCCCTGGGGAAACATGTGTGTCCTCTTGTCCAGACGTGCCCACTGGGTACATCTTCTACACATGCACTTTATTGAGGAGTAGATTAATTAGCTCCAGAGGAAAGCATCATTGTCTATGTTTGTGCTGGTATTAGTGCACAGTAAACTAATTAACACTGCTATACAATAGTACTGTCGGGGACAGTACTATCTTATGGCAGAGTAATTAACTGGGCTGAAACTCACATGTAGATGCTGACCAAAGGGTATAAATTGCACCCAGTAAGCCCAGGAAGCTAGGGGCCTACTCCGCCCCAACTCAAATTGCTGTTGTCCCGGGTGCCCGTGTAGACACTGTGCCCAGGAGCAGTTAACTCTAGCTTGAACTTGTCTGGAGTTTGATTCACATTAATTGCACAGGTAGATGCACCCAGCATAAAATATTTATTCCCTGACTAGTTTACTCTAGCAGCATTTTTTTGTTGTGCTACTCATTTGTTGTGGCACTGTCCACATCAGGCCTTTTTTAGGTGACTCAACTGATTCTCTGAGTTTATTTAACAAGACTCTTCAAATCTCAGCTCTGCTGGTTTCACTTATACCCCTCAGTTGTGATTTAGGACAAATCAGAAGCTGAACACTTTCTTTCATCCCCTATTGTTATTTTTGCCACTTTTAAATTCTTTTGCACCTGTGGCTGAGATGTGTTGGAACTTATTTTCCATGGTACATCCAACTCTCAGCTCTTAAAGGTGACCCTTTTTTGCTCCCTTCTGTGCTCTTTTTGGCTCTCTTGTGAGATATAAAGGAGAACCAAAAGGCTTTGTGTAGAAAGAAAATAGGCTGGGAGGGGAAGGATGTTCTGCTTAATTTCTTAATTAGAAATTCAGGTCAAGCCTGTACTAGTAGTATGCAGGACTAGCAAGATTAAGACATCCCAAGTACAATTACAGAGAAACTTGATTGCTGAGAGAGGAAATGAGATCCTTAGATTGTTAGAATCCCTTTGTTGCTTTGCTATCTTATTAATACTTATTTAACAAAAATAATTAGAAGAAAACCTCCCTTTGGTAAGGATCCACCAATTGCCCCGTTCAATTAAGGGCAGACAAAGTCTGAATATTTACTACTCCCAACAAAATCATTCTGGTTAATTAGAAGACAAATGGAAACCTCCTTAAAAAACAATAAACAAACTTGGATTTCTTATTCATACATGATGCAACAGCAAAGATCCTTGGATTTATGGTACCATAAACAAATACAGTATTACTACTAGTAATGCTGTTTCATGCTTGTCACATATTATCTTAATGTCCTCAAAAGTTTACTCACTGTGTAACCTTTTCTTTTTCAATTCTATTTAATATTCGAGTTATTTACCATATGGTTATTTGAGGGGTTACAACGGACATCACAGTTGAATAGAGGACAATGCATAAAATATTGACCGAAACAGCAGAGCAGAAATATTGACTGAAACAGTCCAGTGGTGGCAGCAACAGGAGCTTTGGCCACTTTAGGACACGCGCTGGAATGTGGGGCTGGTCTGTGGGTCTGGTCTGGCCTGCAGACTGGTCCTGCACCACTTATCCGGCTGAGTTTGATGCCCTACTTAAAATTTAAAATGCCCTCCTAGGTGGAACTTTAAAATAGTGAATTCCTGTATTTCCCTTAATATTTCACAAAACAAAGGGTAACACTCTGTTCAATTAACCATTTTCATAACTAATCTTACACTAAATAAAAGTCACCTACTCTTTTTCACTAGGCCTAAGCCTAACTCATGCCATGCTCTTTATTTGCAGGTTTTAGGTCCTCCTTGTTCCCTACCTGCATTATAGATATATTATTTCCTATAGTTCCAGGCTCCAAATCTACAGGGCTCATAGACTTAACTGAAGCATGTGGGTTTTCACTAGGCTCCCTGTACTTGGGTCATTTTCCATCCTGATTTTGTTTAACACATAGTATAGTAAATCTAATGGGTAATAGTGAAAGGTACTATATGGGGGTGGGAAAGAAGTGTTTTTAAATGACAGAGAGCTGAGACAGAGGTAGTCAGGGAATAAAGGACGAAACAATCATGGGCTGGCAGAAGCAGCTGAGGAGAGTCAGCCTCAGTGCACAAAGATCATGGAGGCTGTTATCCAATGAAAAAAAAAAATGTAGTGAAAAAGGGAAAATTAAAAGGTTTGTATAAAGTAACCCAGGTTAATGTAAAGCTTTAGTTAAAATGAGGAAGGAAGAAATGTAAACCAATGGATGTTCCCTAGTCATTCATTAAAGATTATCTGGTTCCATATATGCAAGTTGCAAACTCTAAATTTTTCCTTTACCAACTATAATTTTTTCCTTTATCAATGGAGAAGAAATATCAATATGGCTGCATGGCAGAAGTTATTTAATCTATGTTTTCTCCTCTGTCTCATCCTGAAGCTGAAAAATGAAATGGTATAAACCAGAAAGGAGTAAAGGAAGAGATAAATTACAGAAGTGAATTCTCATTAAAAAAAAATCACATCATTGCTTTTGTGGCTATCTGCAGAGGGAAGAGGAGGGGGAGAGTGGGGATAGAAAGAATGATAAGGGAAACAACAATGACATGAAACTAATAAAATAGAAGGAAG